TGCATTTTGAACAAGATTCAAGCGTGATAATGACAAGATGCCAGTGTACAAGGAATTGCAGTAATCATTTTGAGATGTCCAAGTCCTTAACAGAGAGAATGGATTACAGTTTTGCTATGGTCCTTAAATGGAAAAAGCTACTTTGACAACACACAAAGAGGTGCACGTTTGTGGACAAGGGGCCCAGATTTTGCGATAATTCCACAAATGAGTTGGGGGAGCCAAATAATATTACTTCTGTCTATTCTCATTTAGTTGGAGAAAGTTTATTGCCATCCAATGCTTAATATCATTTAGACAGTTAAAAATGGACTTTGAATCACCTGGTTTCAGTGGTAAGTACAGCAGTGTATCATCAGCATAGCAGTGGTATGATATGTTTACGGAGAATGGAGGCCAAAGGGGGCCTATACAAAGCAACCAAGATCGAACCTTACGGCACTCCGCATTTAATTGCTGCTGAAGAGGAGGAACTGTTACCAATGTTAACAGAAAAGGTTGTATCTTTAAAGTAGGAGTGAAACCACTGTAGCACAACACCCTGGAAGTCCAGGAGTACGTAATGATCTATAGTGTCAAAAGCAGCGATGAGGTCAAGCAAGAGTAAAATAGCACAATTTCCAGTCAGTGGTGCTGCCAGGCAATAATATCTAGCTGTAGTACCAGCGGCTACAGTTTCAGGACCCCCACAATCCTGGGACGCAGTTCTAGGACCAAAGTTCTTTTGAGACAGCACCATCGAGTGAATTGGTGGTGGTCATGCACAGCAACACAAAGGAGGTTAACCCTGTCTGCACGGTCAGCTGTATGGTTAACCGGTCAACATGCATATAATCCAAAACTTAGGTTTAGGCACAGACCCTGTGATGGTTAGGGTAAGGGTAATTGACTTTGGGTGTCGGCTGTCAAGAGAACAGCTAGTTAGCCAGCCAGCTAGCTGGCAGTACCAAAGTAAACAAGAGTCCTACAAGTGCAGTTCCAGTCCTAGGATTGCGGTCCTGAAACTGCAGCCTCTGTCGATGTTTGGTACCTATCGAGATGTGCTACTTAGCGGTTCTGCGCATGTGTATGACCCACAACCGTGGTCTGTTTCCACGCCTATAAATCTGTGTATCCTGCTGTTGGGCATGCTGTTGAGACAGTGGCTGATTGTCAGCAATATAAAAAATATCAGAATATGCTACCCCTGATATCTTAAATAAAGATGGCATAGTATAGTATTTCACCAGATGCAAAACACCTGAGCAGGCGGCGCTCAGGTGGCTATAAAGGACTCCCTCTTTTCTCCTGGCCTGCCAACTGCTTCTGTTTTGTTTGGTTCTTTGTTTTCTACACACTCCACTCACACATACACTGCATACAGTACATACTGATCTGACAGACACCTACAATTGTGTATTTTGCTTAATTTACTCATTAAAATCTCTATTATTATTTTCAGACTGTGTGGTTTCCTGCTCTTGTCACCTACTGTTGAGCCAGGTTGTGACATAATATAATCAAAAAACAGAAGATGTCATAATACCGTGAAAGTTATAACTTTATGGGATTGGAAAAGGGAACATATAAGGTAGCATTTTTCTATAGGGCAGAGCGACTCTGCTTTCAATTTGCGCTACGGTAGCATTTTTGGACAAGGCAGCAAATCATCAGAACACCGGTACTGCAGCTACATACTACTCTCACCGGGGTGACCACCAATTTTATTAGGGTGGCTGTGGTCCACATTGAACAGAATTTCTGAGAAATCACCATTCAACAAACAAACACTTTCAGATTGTGTATTTAAATAACACATCTGTGTATGAAAGACAAGTATCTCTGTTCTGTGATGTCTGTAATCTTGAGTAGGTTTGTTCCCAGTAAATGTTTTGTTTGTAGTCAGTGCACTCTTTCAAATAAAACCTTTAGTCTTTTTAAAGAAAAAGTCAACTAGTGTATTTGAAGAACAGTTAATTACAGAACACAGATACCCATTAAACAGGATTTTTCACTCAAAACGTTAACTGAACTGGTTTTAGTCTCTGGACATTAGATAATCAGTAACATTAACCGTAAAATAAGAAACCAAAGTATATCTGTCAGGGATTCAGGTGAGTGCAAACAGGAGAGAGTCCAAAAGCTACACACACGCACACTAGAGAGGCGACGTCAAATTCAGGATTTTAATTTAAGAGACAGGTCCAAAATGATCAAACAGGCAGTTCCAACTAAAGGCAGGACACACATCACACTACACGTGACAATGACCGGACAGATACTGAAGGGAAACGGCAAACATTTAACAGCACAGGTGTGAGGGATCAGGACTAACGAGACAGCAGGGGAACATACAAAACACAGGTTCCTGAACAATAAAAACAGGCCATATCAGAACGTCATGTAACAGATCAATAACAACCTGATTCAGACACAATCAGACAGATCGCAAATAAACTTCAAACAGGGAAAACAGACTGAAGCTCGGATTAAACATAAAGTCATTAACTAAGTCACAGAACGGGGAACTAAGATAAGAGACAAAACAGATCTGGAAGGACAAGAACACAAAACTACACTCCTAACAATATCAGTCTGTGATCATATTTTAACATATAGTTTTCAACTAGTATTTATACTGCATAATAGAAGTCCCAATATTCAGTTATGGCTTTTGGTTTTAGTGTGCCACCCCAGGTTTTTCAGTGGCCCCATCTGGCCACCCCTAGGAAAATTCTCTGGGCCGCCACCAAACAACAACAACAAATCATTCAGTACCTTAGGCAGTGCTGTTTCTGTGCTCTGATGTTCCCAGAAACCTGACTGAAAGCTGTCCAGCACATTGTTTTCAGTTAAAAATGAGGAGAGTCGAGAAAGAACGACCTTCTCCAACATTTTGGACATTCAAGATGATTTAGAAATGGGCCTAAAATTATTGAAATTTTAATAAGTAGTTTTTTAAAAGTGGATAAACAATTCCATTTAAAAGAGGGCTAATTACTACAGATGAAAGACTAGGACCAACACCATCTAAAACCTCTTTGAAGAGATGCGAGGGGACAGTGTCTGCGGGGGCAAAAGTAGGCTTCACAGCTGAGAGAAACAGGGCATGGGACTCGCTCAGATGTGTCAACATACCAGATCTAATGACGTCAGTCTTGTCAACAAAAACAAGAATTTCTCTGTAATTTCAGAGGCAGCATCAGGGAGTGCAGCAGCATGGTTTACTGCAGTGTTCATGACACTAAGCAACGTGTTAGGGCTGTGTGCAGCTATATATATCTGTATCTGTATCAATATCTGAGAAATACTTTTTTCTCAGTATTTTGTTGGACAGTTGCAGTTTATTCTTCTTGCAGTTCCTCTCTGCCTTCATGCACTCTTGTCTAAGGGCAGGGGTCTCACTATTAGGGCTGGGCAATAAAACAATAATGATAATTTAATTTTCCTCAATAACAACATAATAAAGGTTCAATAAATCATCAATAAATATTTCATTTGAATCATGAACAAATTAGCACTTAATTTTTCTATTAAAATATTTATTTTGTTGAAAAAAAGAGGCCTGAAAAAAGATTAACTAATGATATTTTAAAAAAAAGATAATAGTTTTGAATGTTCTACCTCAGACTTGTGAAGTGATCCACTGTTTGGCATCAGGTGTTCTGCCTTTAAACTTGAAAGAAATAATGATTTGACATTGATCACACACACACTTGCATGCACAATTTAGAAATCCTGTCCAGACGCATTTTTTAGGCCGGGGAAAACAGGACATATGGTCATTCTGTTATTATAACTGGTAACTAAGAACAGTTTAACTTGTGTATCTCCCAAATACTACAGCCACCAACAGGTGTCTGATCTACAGATGTAAACTTCAGGGTTACTGATTCCTGTTGGGCCTTTCTCTCATCAGTGCTTCAGATTCTCCAGAAATGTTGGATTGTCCTGTAAAGATGTTCAGCAGCAAGTTAGTACAGTGAAAAATATATAAAATATACATTTCCACCAACAGTCAGAAGCTTGATCTCTCTGTGGTTCGTCCTCATGGACAAACAGAGAAAAGGTTTCTGTGTTTTTGTGTTGGAGGAGTAAAACCTGATGCAGCAGCGACCTCTAGTGATCACGGTGATCCAGTACATCTCAGCTGGGTGTAGCAGCTGCTACAACAGATCTGACTTCACCCAGCTGTGATGTCGGCTGTGTTCAGAGGTTCAACGGAGACCAGAGCAGCTGCTGTCTGTTACTCTTTGAATGGTCAGAATCAGAAAACTTTATTGGTCCCTGAAGGGAAATTCTTTGTTACAGATACTGACTTGCCCATCAAGGCACGAAAGGAACAGAAATAGTAGAAGTTGGTAAATACAGAGCATAAGAAGGTGTAAAAACTGTAAATTATAATAAATGTGGATATATAGAGAATTGCCAGAAGTGCAATGATAAATAGCAGGAATGAATAAATAGTGTAACATAGATACTCACTGTTACAGCTCTTCACAAGTCAAAGGCATATCTAGGCATTCTGCAGAAATCTGCATGATTGTTTGTCACTGTGTGTATTTAGATGTAGATGCAGATAAAACATGTTTTATTATTAAAATACAGGCCTCAGTTATTTAAGTGTTTGTACTTAGTACAAGGTTGAGGTACTTGTATTTTACTTAATACTTATTTATATTGTAGTTTTTCCTTCACTGCATTTGTCAGACAGCTTTAGTTTAAAATGAAGACTTTAAACAATCCTGTTTGGAGAAAACACAATTGAAAGTGTGCGAAGAAGTGAATTAATATTGTGAATACAGAATAATAAATAAAAAACTAAAAAAAACAAAGTACAGAGCTGATATTTGGTGTCTAGTCTCTGACCCTGTCACTGCTCAGACGGATACACCAAGCTCACATACTTTTGGCAACGCACTGTATATGTGTGCTGTGATGAACGGAAACTATTTATCAGGTTGATGAGACACAGATTTTACTGTATATATTCAAGGGCCTGTAGGGGTGGGGATCGGGATTCAGTAAACGAGGTTGGACTGTTGTTTGAGGTTGGACTGTAGTTTGACGTTGGACTGCTGTTTGAGGTTGGACTGTTGTTTGAGGTTGGACTGCTGTTTGAGGTTGGACTGTTGTTTGAGGTTGGACTGCTGTTTGAGGTTGGACTGCTGTTTGAGGTTGGACTGTAGTTTGAGGTTGGACTGTAGATTGAGGTTGGACTGTAGTTTGAGGTTGGACTGCTGTTTGAGGTTGGACTGTAGTTTGAGGTTGGACTGTAGATTGAGGTTGGACTGTAGTTTGAGGTTGGACTGCTGTTTGAGGTTGGACTGTAGATTGAGGTTGGACTGTTGTTTGAGGTTGGACTGTAGATTGAGGTTGGACTGTTGTTTGAGGTTGGACTGTTGTTTGAGGTTGGACTGTTGTTTGAGGTTGGACTGTAGTTTGAGGTTGGACTGCTGTTTGAGGTTGGACTGTAGATTGAGGTTGGACTGTTGTTTGAGGTTGGACTGTAGATTGAGGTTGGACTGTTGTTTGAGGTTGGACTGTAGTTTGAGGTTGGACTGCTGTTTGAGGTTGGACTGTAGATTGAGGTTGGACTGTTGTTTGAGGTTGGACTGTAGATTGAGGTTGGACTGTTGTTTGAGGTTGGACTGCTGTTTGAGGTTGGACTGCTGTTTGAGGTTGGACTGTAGTTTGAGGTTGGACTGTAGATTGAGGTTGGACTGTAGTTTGAGGTTGGACTGTTGTTTGAGGTTGGACTGTAGATTGAGGTTGGACTGTTGTTTGAGGTTGGACTGTAGATTGAGGTTGGACTGTTGTTTGAGGTTGGACTGTAGTTTGAGGTTGGACTGCTGTTTGAGGTTGGACTGTAGATTGAGGTTGGACTGTTGTTTGAGGTTGGACTGTAGATTGAGGTTGGACTGTTGTTTGAGGTTGGACTGTAGTTTGAGGTTGGACTGTAGATTGAGGTTGGACTGTAGTTTGAGGTTGGACTGCTGTTTGAGGTTGGACTGTAGATTGAGGTTGGACTGTTGTTTGAGGTTGGACTGTAGATTGAGGTTGGACTGTTGTTTGAGGTTGGACTGTTGTTTGAGGTTGGACTGTAGATTGAGGTTGGACTGTTGTTTGAGGTTGGACTGTAGATTGAGGTTGGACTGTTGTTTGAGGTTGGACTGTAGATTGAGGTTGGACTGTTGTTTGAGGTTGGACTGTTGTTTGAGGTTGGACTGTTGTTTGAGGTTGGACTGTAGTTTGAGGTTGGACTGTTGTTTGAGGTTGGACTGTTGTTTGAGGTTGGACTGTAGTTTGAGGTTGGACTGTTGTTTGAGGTTGGACTGCAGTTTGAGGTTGGACTGTTGTTTGAGGTTGGACTGTTGTTTGAGGTTGGACTGTAGTTTGAGGTTGGACTGTAGTTTGACGTTGGACTGTAGTTTGAGGTTGGACTGTAGTTTGAGGTTGGACTGCTGTTTGAGGTTGGACTGTAGATTGAGGTTGGACTGTTGTTTGAGGTTGGACTGTAGATTGAGGTTGGACTGTTGTTTGAGGTTGGACTGTTGTTTGAGGTTGGACTGTTGTTTGAGATTGGACTGTAGTTTGAGGTTGGACTGTTGTTTGAGGTTGGACTGCAGTTTGAGGTTGGACTGTTGTTTGAGGTTGGACTGTTGTTTGAGGTTGGACTGTAGTTTGAGGTTGGACTGTAGTTTGAGGTTGGACTGTCAACATGGCATCCACAAAAAGAGCTTCTTGTAGCCAGCGATAGACTAACTCAGGTGTCTGACAGCATCCTGGAGAGGATCTCCACCAGGGACTCCTGGTGACCCCCTTTGTTTTTAACAGGAAACTGAGAGGTGAGTTGTTGCAGGAAGAGGCCCATGGAAACAAGGGGGAGGAGTTTGTTGTGGAGTTACTCCGCCGACTGAGACCACATGTCAAACGCATACCAGCAACACACTGCAGTGGACGATGTTTACCTGCTCCTGTGGTTGCCCTGGCTGTTGCTCCTGTTGTTGCTCCTGTTGTTGCTCCGGTTGTTGCTCCTGAGGTTGCCCTGGCTGTTGCTCCTGTTGTTGCTCCTGTGGTTGCCCTGGCTGTTGCTTCTGTTGTTGCTCCTGAGGTTGCCCTGGCTGTTGCTCCTGTTGTTGATCCTGTTGTTGCTCCTGTGGTTGCCCCGGCTGTTGCTCTTGTTGTTGCTCCTGTGGTTGCCCTGGCTGTTGCTCCTGTTGTTGCTCCTGAGGTTGCCCCAGCTGTTGCTCCTGTGGTTGCCCCGGCTGTTGCTCCTGTTGTTGCTCCTGAGGTTGCCCTGGCTGTTGCTCCTGTTTTTGCTCCTGTGGTTTCCCCGGCTGTTGCTCCTGTTGTTGCTCCTGAGGTTGCCCTGGCTGTCGCCCTGGCTGTTGCTCCTGTTGTTGCTCCTGAGGTTGCCCTGGCTGTTGATCCTGTTGTTGCTCCTGTTGTTGCCCTGGCTGTTGATCCTGTTGTTGCTCCTGTGGTTGCCCTGGCTGTTGCTCCTGTTGTTGCTCCTGAGGTTGCCCTGGCTGTTGCTCCTGTTGTTGCTCCTGAGGTTGCCCTGGCTGTTGCTCCTGTTGTTGCTCCTGTGGTTGCCCTGGCTGTTGCTCCTGTTGTTGCTCCTGAGGTTGCCCTGGCTGTTGCTCCTGTTGTTGCTCCTGTGGTTGCCCTGGCTGTTGCTCCTGTTGTTGCTCCTGTGGTTGCCCCGGCTGTTGCTCCTGTGGTTGCCCCGGCTGTTGCTCCTGTTGTTGCTCCTGTGGTTGCCCTGGCTGTTGCTCCTGTTGTTGCTCCTGTGGTTTCCCCGGCTGTTGCTCCTGTTGTTGCTCCTGTGGTTGCCCTGGCTGTTGCCCTGGCTGTTGCTCTGGCGGTTGCTGCAGCCAGAGCATTTTAAACAAGCATTTCTTGGCTTTTCCTTGATAGTGCCATTCATTCTCTTTACCTCTCCTGAGCTCTGGGGGGTGATAAGAAACATGCAACTTCTAATCCACCCTTTAACAATCAGGCGTACATTAATGAGAGCATTCAGGGCGCATGAAAAAGAAATGCTGCTTTTCTATGAAGATGAAAAAGACAAATACATCTGAAACAAACTGAAGTACTGAATCTGTAGGAAACTGCTGGTACAAAAACACAAACTGAACTCCACCTGCTTACAACTTTGTCAGACAAACTGAATAAAAATCTCAGTTGTTATTTTTGATTATTTACCTGGTCCTCCGTTGCTCCTCCCCCTTGCTCCCCAGCAGATGTTTTCATCAGTTCTTCAGCAACATCTTCCCATTGTCCACGGTGTATTTTGTCTTTGACTTTAATCATATCTTCTTTTGCTAAAGCCTTCACAATCTCTCTCAGATGGTTTTCCTTCTCCTCCAAAAACAGTTCTTCATGCAGAACCTTTCTGTTGCAACAGCCTGAGTTTCCACAGCATGGAGTCCTTCCAAACAGTGGTATAAGGGATGCCACCAAAACGATACCAAAAAGTAAAAATCCACCAATTACCTGAAAAAGAAACAAAGACGGTTAAATTATAACAGCATTTCTGTGTTCTTGCTGTCATTTCATTAAGACAGTACTAGCTGATCAAGTAGAACAAGACCACAGTGAAATAAAAGGTAACACTCTGACATGATGGAAACACTCACCCTGGACTCGTTTTTCAGTCCAGCGATGAGGACTAGGTCCACGTGAGTGAGATTCTTCTCCTTGACTTTGCAGGCTAACTGTGCCTGTTCTTCAGAGCCATTATTCTGGCAGCAAACATACCAGTCTCCATCGATGTACACAAAAGCAACCCAAAGCAGACTGACTAAAAACGCCTTAAGAAGCTTACGAAAGAAAGAGCCCAAAAACTGCACTTGTAAGTCTGGTCACGTCCTCCGAACGCACTTGAACGCTGGTATCTACAGACTCTCTGAAATGGCCTGTCTGTCCAGAGTATTAACAGAAATATAATTAAAAATGGCAGAATCAAGTAGAAGTTACAGTTACCTTCTTGCGGTTTGCTAGTGCAGGCAAAGTTCCTGTCAAGCAAAATACTGTAAGTAAATATCAAAATGCTTGCAGCGTAGGTGCTGAGCTTCCCAGATAAGAGTTTAATAAAAAAAGCTTCCATATCTGATGTTCAGTTGGCATCAGCTCACAGCCTGCAGCTTATACCCTCTGAACACGTACCAACAAGGAAGAACGTATTTCCTGTTTTATTAAGAACCTGTTGGGTGAGTTGTCTGCCCAGTTGACTGCCCAGCCACCTCAGATCTGAGAGAAGAATAATAGAAACACCGCTTTTATATACAAACCCTGTTTCCAGAGAAGTTGGGGTATTTTCTAAAATGCATTAAAAACAAAGATCTGGGATTTGTTCATTCACGTGAAATACAAAAGAAAAGATGTTCAATAGTGTCAGTGATAGTTTTTTTTTATAATAAAAAGAGGCATGTTTACCATTGTCTTCCATCACCTTTCCTTTTCATAACACTTTCTGATCATCTGGGAAGTGAAGATACTGAGTGAATTTTTGTCTGTTCTTGCTTGATACAAAACTTCAGCTGCTCAACAGTCTGTCAAAATACAATTACGCTGGAACTAAAATAGTTTTTTTTCTACTTACAGTTACATAAAGGTTCCTGTGAATTAACAAATTCCAGATTTTTGTTTAATTGCATTTTATAAAATATCCCATCTTTTCTGGAAATGTATATTGTGATGACCTGTGTGGGTGTGGCCTATCTCTCTCTCTCTCTCTCTCTGTCTTGCAGCTGAGGCTGAGTGCAGTACCTCTGGGTCCACTGCCCTGCAGAGTTGGAGCTCCTTGTTCCCGTTCTTCAGGGAGCTGCTGCCGGGCTGAGGTGGCAGACCTCTCTGCTAACTGATTTCCCTCTGTTTCTCTCCACAGGCTCCTCCTTTTGGGTTGGCTTTTGGAAATGTTGTTTTAGTTGTATTTACATTGTATCCTGCGCATAACTCCCTCACACCCACCCACCCATGCATGCATCATCCTGCTCTGACACTACTGAAAGTAATTTGGCCCAAGTCTTACCCATGCCTCTCAAAGATGATTTTTCCTGAATAAATGAGTGAAGATCATTTTCACCAGAGACTTTTTTTTATGAATTCACCATCTGGCATAGCTGGCAATGCAAACATTATGAATTAGAGAAAATAAATAATTTCTATCAAAAAACAACATATTCTGTACCACGAGAGGATTGTTTTAATATATCAGAAGCATTTCAGCGATCACCTGCTTACATTTGTTCTGCAGAGACTAAATATGCTTTCAATGCACCATTAATGGAAAGTGAAAGTGAAAGTGAAAGTGAAAGTGACATGCAAGGGTTTGTCTTTGGTGGAAATCATTAGATGTGATCCCCACATATAGGGCTTAACTGACAAAGTGTGTGTGTGTGTGTGTGTGTGGGGGGGGGGGGGCTGTGCACAAAATAGTAAAGTACTACTTTGCGCTGTCGAACAGTATTTATCAATTAACAAAATGCAAAACAGAAGAAACATCTGAATGACCACCTGTTGCCTTAAGCAGCATTAATTCTTCTAGATGCACTCGCACAAGTTTTGAGGGAACTCAGCAGGTAGGCTGACGCAAACATCTTGGAGAGCTCACCTCAGACCTTCCTTTCTGACCAAATCTCCAACTCCATTTGCAAAAATGCGAACCCAAACTTACAAGAACCTCCACCGTGCTTTACTTCTGCCTGCAGACACTCATTCTTTTGAACTCTCCAGCCCTTCGGCAAACAAACTGACTTCTGCTACAGCCAAACATTTCACCTGTTGACTCATCAGTCTAGAGCACATGCTGCCATTTTTCTGCACCCCAGTTCCTGTTCTGTTCTCCATGTCGGAGGCGTTTAGGCCACAAGTCTTCCATGTCAGCCACTTCTGGAAAGACTTCTCTGACAGTAGATGTCCCACAGGGGTCCCACGGTTTTCTGCCAGTTCCGAGCAGGTGGCAATGCTGGACATCTTCTGATTGGGAAGGGAGGTAAGCAAGAAGTGTCTTTCATCTGCTGCAGTAAATTTCCTTGGTTGACCACTGCGTCTACAGTCCTCAAGGTTTCCCGTTCATTTGTACTTCTTCAGAAGAACTTGGACAGCACATCTGGAAAGTCGTTTGCCTTGAAATGTCTGCCTGTGAGAGACCTTGCTGACGCAGTGTAACTACCTTGTGTCATGTTGCTGTGCTCGGCCTTGCCATGGTGAATGACTTTTGACAGTAAACTGTAAACACATCCTTAAACTGTCACATACGACAAGATGAGCTGAAGGTTCGTGATTATCCAGAAGTGGACAGGTTGCACTCGCGCTTAAATTCAGGTTCCACCGAGATTTGAACTCGGATCACTGGATTCAGAGTCCAGAGTGCTAACCATTACACCATGGAACCACTACACAGAGACGGGAGGCAGTTTCTTATGCGAAATCACCATGTATATATTATCTATGCAGAGAACAGACGTGGGAGAGCTGTCGGGTTTGGCTGTTCCTCACCCAGTTGAATTCCTCCCCAAGCTGTTTCTGTTTCAGGTAATGATTGTGTTTGAAACCTACATGTTGAATTGGTGATCATTAGGTTTTTATTGAGATTTTTCTTCCGTTCACTAACGTTGCGTTTTGTGAACTGATAAATATGTATGTATATCTGTCATGTCTATTTGAAGGTCATTTAAATTTTGCAGCATTTTTCCACACCTGCTTCAAACCTTTTGAAGTTTCTTCTAGCATGCAAACGTAACATCAAATGTGGCTACAGCTGATGTATTGAGGACATAAAAACATTACTGGAAACTGCACAAAAGATGATGCATGTTTTTTTAGTTTAATGTTGATATTATCTTTATCACATTTGCATTGTAATAACATGAAACTATGTATAGCTCTGCCGCTTGCTCTCGTCTTTACTTTACATTATTTGATGACATCTTTGTTTTTTCTAATAAAAGCTGCAGAAAGTGAATCCTGGGTACTTATAAATCACTGGAACTTTCATTTATAAAAGACACAAAAGGCTCTTAATCACTTTTATTAATTCTTCAGTACAGCAGAATTCTACAGTACAGTACATTCTTCTGAACAGCACTACCCATGTAGCGACACTAATAGAGGCATGTCCTGCAAATTATAATTTCTATCCGTCAGCGGCCCGGTCGGAGAGCAGGAGATCTGGCTGTGCGGTGCATGATGGGTACAGAGTGGCGGGTTAGAGTGTTTTGTTTACATTTAACCCTTTGTTCAAACTTTATGTATGTACTATTTAAGACTGTGACAACTCCGCCCACTCTGCCTTCCTTGCTCTATAACTGTGTTGTAGATGCTGGGAGTTGGCTGACAGGAGTGTCACCTGCTCGTACCTGCACATCTGCAGCAACACCAGCCTTTTCCCTTTGTTTTCCAACATGCATTACACTTAATTTTTTCATTCACACACTTCTTAGATGACTGATGTTTCTCCTAATGCAAAGATGTCACACTTTTTGGTAATATTATCACGAGGGAACGGCACACAAGAATCGCTAACCCCACCTTTATAAAAGAAATAAAGAAATATAGCTGAAGATACAAAAAGCCTTCTGTATTGTTGCTGGGATATGAAATTTTTTGTCACATCCCCAGCCCTGCTACTTTCTATGAATTTTGAAAAGCAAAACAACAGTAAACATGGGAGAGGTACAGACATCAATGAAAATGAATAACAGCACTAATGGATAGCAATAATTGTAATAATTACAGGATTATTAATAATAGTAGTAATTATCTTACAGTGGGGTTAATATCGGAGTGAATGGACGGCTGGAGCAGTTGATGAGCATCTGAGCGTCTAATATTGTCACAGATGGGTTTTTAAAAAATTGCCAAAACCTTTGTACTAAAGTCAGAGTACATGAGTTTCAGCAGTAAAATGTTAAAATATTAATA